GCATCTGCCCTTTGGAACAGTCTCTCCTCCCCCTATCTCCCCCTGCCCTCCTATCCTTCCATAAGAGCATGAAGATCTGGCTCTGCAAATTGGCCGGGGTGGGGGTGGGGGACAATCTTAGGAAGTACCACACTGGAGAAGACTATTAGATTAATAGCAAACCCCACCTCCCCTCCCCCCCGCATTACTTGCTTCCCTCCACCCATCTTTTAATCTCATATTTTCATTGTTTGCTTATTTTATTGCTTCATTATTTTTCTACTGTTCTGTTTAAAATTCTTTTCTCTGTTTCTATGGTTAGGTAAACTGCCTAGACTAGCCCTACAAAGAGATAGGTGGCAAATAAATTTAATAAACAAACAAATGTGACATTTAAATGAACAAAAAGTATAGAGAAAATAAATCTGTTTTTGTACTTCTGTTCATTAATGATTGGTTTACCTTTCTTGTAACTTGATAAGTCATAAACCAATTGGAGAAGATAGGAAAAATGACAAGATGAGACATAAGAGACCATACTGTGGGAATTAAGTGTTCAGCAGAGTGACGGCACGTGAGGGGAAAACTATCTTTGTATCTAGTTGTTTTGGCATGCAATATTCCAGTGGGTCTTGAGTGGAGAAGTTGAAATACATTATGTTCAGGATGTGAGAGATTTGCAGATACTTTCTCAGCCATCTTTCTGATTTGTGCAGTATACAGATCCTCAATGGAAGGCAGGATGGTTGCAATTATTTTTCTGCACTCCTAAGTATCCTACTACTGTGTGTAAATGCTTAGATATTCATTGAGCCAGATTTTCATGGTTTGAAGATCTGCATGTATATTCATCACCTCCATTTAATCCTTCTTATCTTGATGCATTTTATTCATGGATGGATATCTTCCATAGGCAAGGATAATAGCCTTCATGGCATGAGTCGCGGTTCCTTGAGGAACCATCTCATCCCACTGGGAATGGCCCACCCCACAGGTGTCAGCAGAGGAGACATGCTGCAGACCCTATTGGCCAAGGAATTCCACCTGGCAGAGTCCAGAAGAGGCTGCCACCTCTGATACTCTTTGGAACATTTTGCCCCATGGTTCTACTAGTTGGTCTGAGGCTCCATGGAGTGGGTCAATAGATTAATCACAGAAACCACTTCCTCCCCTCTGCTCATCCTACTCCTTCCCTCTTCACATTTTAGTGATAGTTGATTGTTTGTATTTTATAGTGTTTTATTGTATATATTGTTGTATTGATTTAGTCTATTTAACAATATAAGCTGCCCAGTGTCACCTCATGGTTTGTGCGGCAAACAAATTTAATAACTAAATGGATAAAAGATGTATCATAGTTCTAAATGGTCAGCACAAGTTGCATTGTTCAGAGATAATTGCTGAACTATTTTTTTTATAGGAATAAAACTTAAGCATATTTTTAGAAGTTTCATTGAAAGTAATATGGCCTGTTCTAGTTTTGACTGATCATATCCTGTTTTTTAATTTTTGAAACTTATACATGTATTTATTTATATCTTTATGCAACATTTACTTGTAAAATTCTAGGCAGTTCTTTTTTTCTGTTTGTCTATATAAGATAATAAGTCAAAGGATGCCAATTGTGTACAGGATTTTTAGTTTAAACCATTTCTGTTCCATAAATATAATAGGTATCTATTGTTCCTTTGTCTTCTCTGTTATACTTCATTATTTTCTTCTACTCATAGAGTGAACCTGTTTTTATTTACAATTTGTTGGTTTATTTTTCTCTCTCTCTTAATAGTATGGTTTCCAGGTTATATGTTGATTCAGACATTTTTAATATTACAAAATAATAAAGTCCCATATTCTTTTCAAATTGATAATCTAAATATAACAATATAAACAGATCCAAAGAAATCTGGTGCAATGATTTTATTCATTTGCAGTATTTTTTGAGCTGTCTTAATTTTGCACCTACTATTGAATTTACTTTCTATTGATTTTTGCTATAGGAAGGTCCCAACAGTTTGATTAATGAAGAAGAATTCTTCGATGCTGTTGAAGCTGCTCTAGATCGTCAAGACAAAATAGAAGAACAGGTAATATTAGTATATGAAGTTCTAGGTAGAACTGTGTCACTATGATATATCATGGTCCCTTTTAGAATACACATATTGTAGTAAATATCATCTACAATATACAGTTAATGGGCTTCAGAAATAATAGGAGCATATTTGTTTGTTTTTTAATCCTGCCTTTATTACTTTTATAAGTTATTTTGTATTAATATTTTTTTATTAATTGTTTACATTAAAGTAAAAGAATTGCTGTTTGATATTATGCAGGAATTATGTTCAAGGTTTTGTGTTAACAACTTGGAAGATGGAGAGCCATAATGTGTCTATTACTGAGAATTGTTTTTCAAATTATTTAATGTTTTCATGGTACATCCAAAATTCTAGGATAATAAATATATATTTTATACATATTTGTTCTTATAGTCCCAAAGTGAAAAAGTCAGATTGCACTGGCCAACTTCCATGCCACCTAGTGATGCTTTTTCTGGTGTGGGGAATCATAGATTTGTCCCAAAGGTAAGATGCTTCCAAAATGTGACCTGAAAGTTGAATCAATTCTACGTTCCAATTAACATAATAGATTGTGATTATGTAATATAATATATAAAGATCCTATTATGTATGAATAAAACCATTCAAACTGCTTTACTATCTGCTGGAAGAAAAATTACTTTTGCTGCATTGATGAACTTAATGTTTTTCTACTAAGCATGCATGCTTCAAAATTAAATTTAAACAGTAAAAAAGAGACTTTTATTTTCCTAGATTTCTGCAAGCTTTCATTTTTCACTCTGGTAGAGAATGGTTTATTATGAATTAGTGAACACATGTGGTATACCAAATCTAGGCAACAATATTTAGTATTCTGAGAAAGAATTCTTTATTGAGCAGTGTTTGGAGTATAATACATAATAGGTGCATGAAGTCAGCATTTGCTGCTGTACTTGCTGCTTATGGTGCTTTTGTTTCTTCTTCATAATCTTGTGCGTGGAAGTTGGTACAAAATGCTCTGTTGTGCCTTTGTTCTGATTACTTGGTTTTTTCTTTGTCTGTCTCTGTTAGCCCTATAGTCGCTCTTCCTCCATGTCTTCCATTGATCTAGTCAGTACCTCTGATGATCACAGATTCAGCTCCAAGGTACTGTATTTCTACATGCAGAGTGGCTTTACCATGTCTTCTTGCTGTATTTCACCTTCATGGTCACTTCTTTTCTTCTTGTTATATTAACCATTTACGCTTGTTTTAAACAAAGTGCACATAAACTATAGGAAGAAACTGTATATACTAGTAGTGAGTAGGAGGAAAGTGAATGTGAAAAGGTTTTGTTGCATATCAATCCAAAACGTTCCAAATGTGCTTTATTCCATTCTGTAAAAACAATACTTGTAATTTAAATAATGTCCCTTATATTCTTGCAATTTCTCAAACATTGTACAATATTCAGAAAATTTAATTCTTCAACCTACATAGTTAATGTTGTCAAGACAAAAATTATTCATATTAATTCAAGATTCTGATGAACCAACATTTAAGTACTTTGAGTTGAAGATCTATGCAAATTTTCATTTGACATTTGGATCATGGCATGAGCAAGTTACATTTGTACAGAGTAACACTCAGCTTTTTTCACTCTTGTTCAATGTTTGTCATGTGCCCAACACCTCTATTTTTAATGACCTCCAAGTTGGAGAAGATTTCTCAAATTTGTTAATTTTTTAAAAATACTTAAAGAGACTATGCAGACTCTATCCAGCTTCCAATATAAATAAATCTGTCCTTAAATGACCTATATATAACATGGGGCTTTTTCTAAATATTTACTTAACAATTTGATTCTGTGGTCTTTGGAGAGAATATCCCTCAAATACTAAAAACTTTTTTAAAGAAAGTCCATGTAAGATTCTAAGAACTGAGTCAAGGAAGAATATTTTTAAAGTTTTTGTAATTCCCAATAACACATGCTAGAGGTGCAAATTTCTGTGGTTGTTGATGTTTCTATAGTTAGCTCTTTGATATTACAGTTTGACTTCTGCAAGATATTAGAATTCAGAGAAAGAATTCGGAGATGTTTTTTTCATTCCTCTCTGTAATGTTTCAAACGGAGTTGAGTTAACTTTAAGAAACAATAAATATGTAGGTAGATTTCTATTACGTCTGTTTCATTCAATTATAAGATATTGCATGAATAAAATCATACTGCAAATAATGTGGTTCTAGGTTGTATGTAGGAAAAAAGTATATAATTCCTAAGAATCAAGCCTTTTCCTTGAAATATATGTTAACCTTTGGAGTTATGAAGATGTTGAAAAATATTGCCTTAAAAACCAATGCAGTAATTGAAAAAAGGACTTCAGCATATTGTATAGCAAGCTTACTTTTCTTTTGCTAATAGAATAAAATAAATTATTCAGGTAATAAAGTTTATCAAATAAGCAGGAAAAGACTGCAAAATTGGAACAATTTATATACTTTATGAGGCTGAAAACCTTCCTGTTACTTGGTACAGTATTTAAATTACTTATACACAGAAAACTTAGGAAACTTAACAGTAGGAAAGAGACTTGACTGAAGACTGTTTGGGAATGATTAGCTGTGTTCTCTTACTTTTGCATATTGTTGTTCAAAGTAATGCTTTTATATCAAATGAAGGTTCCTTTTTAAAAATGTGAATCAGTCAACCAATTAAGCTTTTAAGCAGTACAGTTTGTACAAAGTAGAAGTTCTTAGTAGCTCTCCAGGCTATTTTCTTAGTTTCTATTCTTAAAACTAATTTTAAGAATAGAGTAATTTTGAGGTTTAGGTTGATTGCTGTGTGATTTTATAAACAAATAGATCATATCTTTTTAAGGATATTTGATGATAGGAAGGAAAGTCATTTAGTGGCATTCTCTAATGTCATATAAGTTATAGTAAAGCAGAGATAAGCAGATTGAGATAGGTATATTGACAAGCACATGGATTGCTGGTAATTTGAAATAGTCTGACAAATGTTCCTAAAGCTAATGGGAACATACTCCCAATTTAGACCCAGTTTGAATGTTTACTTTTACATTTATTTAAATTTAACATGTCAATTTAAGTCTTTTTAAATATATCCAATAATCATATTGTGTTTTTCTGAAAATAAGACAGGGTCTTATTTTCTTTTGACCTCTGAAATAAGTGCTTGGCTTTATTTTCAGGGAGGTCTTATTATTTTTGAGGCGCAGGAGGCGGGGACCATGGTCACCTCATGGCTGCTGCTGTGTTGCAATATATTCAGGGAGGGCTTATTTTGGGGGGAGGGCTTATTTTAGCACATGCGTTCAAAAGCCCGATTAGGCTTATTATCTGGGGAGGTCTTATTTTCAGGGAAACAGGGTATTAATATAAATTGTTTCCTAAAGGGACACAGCAAAAAAATTAATGTATTGTAATTAAGAGACTTTTTGTTTGAATCCCATGTTATTTGTGCTTGCTTGCTTGCCTGCCTGCTTGCCCGATTATGGAAGTTCTTTTCCCAAGTCTGTTTCTTTGTTTATATTATATTTTTGCACAGTCATTTTACTTATATATTTACTTGTACAATGATTTATTTAATAGCACATTATAGGCAATCATGTGATTATCTCCAGGCTACAGAAGAGCTGAAGAAGCTTCCATAAATGTATTTTTAATGTATTCCCATTTTGTTTTGAAAGGTGGAAGAGATGGTAAAGAACCACATGACATATTCGTTACAGGATGTAGGGGGTGATGCTAACTGGCAACTAGTAGTTGAAGAAGGTGAAATGAAGGTAGACAGAATATGTCATTTTTTATAAATAAGTTAAAATGAATAATAATTTAGACAAAGAGTTGCTAATTTCCTTGAGGTTAATTCAGTAAAAAGGTCGAAATTGGATCTCCAGCTTTGGTTCGAGCTTTAAGCTGCTATTTGTTTTTGCTATTTAGAATGCATATTACTTTGTTTCTCTCTGTCTAAAATAGTGTTTACAGTTCTTGTCTATACACTTGAAAAACAATATGACAGTACTAGAAAAATACACAAATATTCCAAAAATTATCAAAGAACTCAATCTCCTTCTATATTAGAAAAGGCTGGAATGTTTGGAACTTTATAACTTAAAAAAGGATATGAAGAGGAGACATGATTAAACTGAATGAAATAAAATGGGTTTTTTCTTCTGTCAAAATATTAGAACTTATAAAGTTGTTCGGAACAATATTTAAAATGAACAAAATAAAGCATTTATTTATACTGATCATAATTAACCTGTGAAATTAATTTATCAGTAGATGTGATACCCACTAACTTGGATAGGGTTAAAGGGAACTAAATATATTCATCGAAGAATAGGTCTATCAAGGCCTACTGGCTTTAAAAAATTAGTACCTTTAGCATGGGGGGCAGAATGTCTACAGATGCCAATAACAGAGGAACAATAGAGGGGCACATTATATATCCATCCCCAACTTGTGAATATCTTAGAGGCATCTGTGTGGAGAGAAAAAAAAATGCCAGAATATGATGGGATTTGTTTCTGTCCAGCAAGTCAGTTCTTATGTTCTATATTTAAATGAATGGTAGTTCTACTGTAATTTTACTAATCTAGGATTGTCCCCACCAATTTCAAAAGTGAATTAATAATATGGGGAAAAAAGGTTTAAAATATTTAATATTTATTCAAAGGTGTACAGGAGGGAAGTAGAAGAAAATGGCATTGTTCTAGATCCATTGAAGGCCACACATGCAGTCAAAGGAGTTACAGGGCATGAGGTCTGCAATTATTTCTGGAATGTTGATGTTCGCAATGATTGGGAAAGTAAGTAAAAGTAGTTCATTTGTTTATTTATTCGTATTTGCTACTGTTCAATAGACACCCACTTAGTCCAGTTCCTCATTTTCAGCTAATATGTCTGGAAATTCTAGGACTTGCAGTTTTAACTTATTCAGAGGACAGAGATGTGGCTAATTGTGGTCTAACTGACATGTGACGGTATTAGTGCTATAATTTAATTATTTTGTTTCTTTTTTTGTCTTGTCTTTAGCAACCATTGAAAATTTCCGTGTTGTAGAAACTCTAGCTGATAATGCAATCATCATCTATCAAACACATAAGGTAATACTTAGCATTATTTCATAACACTTAAAAGTGCTGTAAGTGCTATGAAGAAAGAAAGCAACTAAAGGTTATAAATTTCTGACTTAACTGAACTGGGTTTTCCTGTTTGAACATTGCCTGAATCATCAGGAAAAAATAGAGTTATACATCGATGTTATAGTTTTGCAAAATTTGGGTAGAAGTTTCTTTAATCTTGATCATGTATTTTTGTTCCAAGAAATTCGGATCTTATTTGTTTTTAGAGAAGCAAGTGCAATAATAAGTGAGGAAAGACTATAGCTCAGTAACAGAACATAAGTTTTGTATTCAAAGTTCCAATATTCAGTCTTTCCCCAAATGCTATGTATCTGTGAATGGGTGAGAGGAAGAAAATCATTTCCTAAATCATTATTTTAAAATATTTCTAAAATGATGCCCTAATTATCATGGTCCATTGAAAGCCAAAGTAATGGCTAAGACCAAGTTACAAATCGAGATGTCTTCATCTTGAAGGGTAACTGATTTTGCAGTAAAAACACAATTTTACCATATTGATAAGAGAAGAATATTTGTAACTCAAGATTGAAATGAAGAGTACTTGGTGCTCTCCGAGTTTGGTTGTTTTCTTGCAGACATTTCATTACCTAAATTAGGTAACAGTTTGAGCAATGAAACAGCGGCAAAAAAACAACCAAGTTCAAAGGTAGCACCAAGTACCTCTGAATCTTAAGAGTATCTTTATATTTAAAATGTATTAGAATTGTTTTCATTTATTTAGTTAGTTAGTTTTGATAAATTTATCTGTATGCTCATCTTTTGACCAACATCTTAAGATACCTAGTACAGGTAGTCCTCAACTTACAACCATTCATTTAGTGATCATTCAAAGTTAGATTACTGAAAAAAAACACGATTTGTCATCAAATTCAGGCACTTGGCAACAAGCTTGTATTTACAACAGTTGCAGTATCTCAGGTTCATATGTTTGCCATTTGCAACCTCCTCAGTGGTTTCTGACAAGTAAAGTAAATGGTGGAAGCTGATGTTGCTTAATGACTGATTGATTCACTTAATAAGTACTGTGATTCATAACAATCTTGGCAAAAAAAGTTGGACTTAACAACTGTGTTGCTTAACAACTTAAATTTTGGTCTAATTGTCGTCATACCTTGAGGATTACCTGTATACGTATACACCCCTCTATTATTATCCCAACAATCCTGAGAATTAGGATGAGCAGGAAAAAAATAATGAGGCAGTAACTAGGTGTGTGAATTTATCTTGGTATTTACTATACCATTCTGGCCATGGCATAATTTATTTCATTAAAAGCATGGATGTTATTATAAGAGAGGAATATTGTGGTTACACACACACACACACACACACACACACACACACACACACACAAAGATGGAAAAAAGTTAGAGGAGGAAAATAAAGAAGTAGAACCCAAATACAAGACGTCCTCAACTTACAGTAGTTAATTTGGTAACCATTCAAAGTTACAATGGCACTGAAAAAAGGGACGTATGACAATATTTCACACTTTTGACCGTTGCAGCAGCATGTCCTGGTCACATGATTTACATTTGGATGCTTGACAACTACCTCACAATTTATTTTGGCTGCAGTGTCCCAGAGTCATGTGATCCCCTTTTGCGACCTTCTGACAAGCAAAGTCAATGGGGAAGCCAGATTCACTTAACAACCGTGTTACTAACTCAAGAACTGCCATGATCCACTTAACAAATGTGGCAAGAAAAGTTGTAAAATGGGGCAAAACTCACTTAACAAATTTCTCACTTAGCAACATAAATTTTGGGCTCAATTGTGATCGCAAAATGGGGATTATCTGTAATGACCTCTCAAAAGTAGTCTCCACACATTTGGTTTTTTAAATTTTGTGTTGCATTGATTAGTCCATACTCATGTTATATGTAATAAAATTGTCCTTACAGTTATTTTTGTTGAGGTTTGCCGCAGATGATTTAGGAAAACTAAAGTTTGTATTTTTACTTTACCAATACTTAGATTGGTGTCCAAAATACTCTTTTGCTTAAAAATCGACCACTTTCTCCTATTTGGATTATGATGGACCAATGCTCTACCAAAGTGTGTGTAGGAGCTTATGAAAAAATTATCTTTCATCCTCTCACTTACTTCTAGTTTTGGGTGTAGTTCACCTTGTTCACAGTTGGCTTCGCTAATAATAAGCATACAATTACTTTTGCAATGACTTATTATTATTATCCTTGCTTGTATGTAACATTCTAAACTGTATCAAGTTATTTTCTCAATCTCTGCAATATGGGTTTAATAATATTGAGCTAAATTACAGGTTTGCTTTAAAAATTAGAACAAACAATGTAATTTTAAAATCAAAGGAACTTTTCAATAGTATAGAAAACTTGTATCCAGCTGTCTTGAAAGTCTCAGCGTATAAATTATTAGGGATCTGAACATAATGACTCAGCTTTGAACTTTTTATATACGGTAATTCCCTTTAAATTATGCAGGCACATAATCAAAAACCATACCTAAAAATAATCCATAAATATTATTTTTCTCTGAAAATTACGTTATGCCAATCCAAAACTTTATATATTGTATTGAAGGGATTGGTGATGAGATGTATTTAATACATTTTTGTTTTCAGCAAATTAGAAATTAATAAATTTTGACAATATAGTAGTAAGTCCTCAAAAATTGATAAAACAGTACAACACAAGTTATTACTGTATTATCTAAAATTGAGAAATCTTTAAAACAATTTAAATGTAAAATTGAGAAGTACTTTACATTGTTGGTAAGTAAAAATGTGGAGGGGTTGCATTGCCTAGAAGAACACAATATGAAAGTCTTAGAGAACTGTTGAATTTTAAACATTTCTGCTCTTTAGTTATAAGTTTTGTTTTGTTTGTCATATTTTAGTTTATAAATTTTGTAATACTATGTGTGTGTCTATATGTGTTCCTGCATAGAGTTATTGAATAGGTAGTTCTTTTTATATTTATATTTTTCTCTGGGATTATATATGTAATAATCAGTATACTGAAATTTTGATTTATAGCTGTTTTCTATTATTAGGAATACTGTAGAAGTGGTTTTTTTAAAAAATGAATACTTTAAAACATATAAATGCTTTATTTCTAGCGAGTATGGCCTGCTTCTCAACGTGATGTGCTGTATTTATCTGCTATTAGAAAAATACCAGTTTTAAATGAAAACGACACTGAAACATGGATTGTCTGCAACTTCTCTGTAGAACATGATAGTGCTCCTGTAAGTAAAACTTTTAGTTTCTGAAGGTATTTATTATTGTAAAATTCCTTTCTTAATTGCAGTGTTTATGAACCTAGGGCAAGGATAATTTAAAAGAAAAGAATGGAAAAGATTCTGGATATTTCGCTTAATGAGTTTTTTCTAATGGAAAGGAAAGAGCAGTTCATGTCATCATATTTCTTTACAGTCAGCATTTAATCAGCAACAATGTGAATGATTGTGTTTCTTGACAGACAAACAATCGATGTGTTCGTGCCAAAATAAATATTGCTATGATTTGCCAGACATTGGTAAGCCCTCCAGAAGGAAACAAGACAATAAGCAGAGACAACCTCCTATGCAAGATTACATATGTAGCAAATGGTAAGGCATGACTACTTTCTTGAAATGCATATGTAATTGTGATAGTGTAAAAGGATTTTTTTCTTCTCATTTACAGATAAAGAACCTTACAAATAATAAGGCAAAAGGCCTATGTACATACTACAGTTGTGTATTATATACATGGCACATGGCACTTATTTTTTCTAAAGATACTGCAATAACTAATTATGTTCAGGAAGTTCTGACATTGTTTACTGTTGAAACTACAATTAAATCCAAATGACACTCGAATTTTAAAACATACAGTGTTGTAACCATAGCTCATTGTCAGCACTGGCTTTTTGTTTTTGGTGGTATTGCTGATTAAATTTCCCCACTCATCAGCAAATTACCATAGGAAAAGGGTGATCTACCCACTTCACATGAACATGTTTATTTATTTATTGTATTAATGAAATTAATGCAAATGCTTTTTGTTTGTTTGTAAAATATGTAACTGCGTTTCCCAGAAAGATGCCCCAAGCTTTTTAAAATTTATTTAAAATAAATTGAAAGTGATCTATAGTTAAGATACTGTATAGTTTAAATAAAACATTCAGATTAAAATTCTTTTGAAAGTACTATATTTTAAAATTACCCCCTCTCAAAGCTTAAAGTATCATAACATGCAAAATCAATAATAAGAGGATGATCACCATCAGAGATCTAATCAAACTTCTATGTAAACAGTTTCCTCCTGAGCTAGCACCAAAAGTTTACAATATGCACAATAAATAGAAGTGCATTGTTGTAATCACAGGTATAAGGCATGAAGTAAATCATAAAGCAAAAAAACCACTTAAAGTAAATAAAATTATAACAACTTCAAAAGTCTATGCAGAGTTACAACACTAACTAAAGGTTGTATGAGACCAGTCCTAAAACTACAACATGGCTGGAGGTATACAGGTAGTTCTTTTAACTGATTATTTAAAGACTGGAAAAGATGCTTTATGGCCCATAAAGACTTCTGACTGACAAAACATTGTGGCATCCTTCCACAGGTATGTGATTTATTACATTTCAGGCATTTGCAACAAACTTGCATTTACAGAGCTCAATAAGTGACTCAGCGGTAGCAGTAGTAGCTAATAGAGTTCTGCTATCTAACCTTTGTAAAATATCACTTTGTTGGACCTTGAGCAGGGCTCCAAAGGTACTATTAAGCACAGTTGGTTCCTATTAGACTTGGCCTCATTCTGCATATCTATCTTATTCCCATGGTCTGGCTTAGTCAAGGGCAAATGGGGAGAGAAGATAATGTTATTAACAACAGGTTTTATTATTTGGAAGACTGTATAGATCAAAAGTAGCTGAGCTGAACAAAGAGGTTACCCCACCATCATGAAAAGAATAGAAATAATAGAAATTATTTCATTTTAAGTAATATGTGAGGTATAATAGTTTGCTTAAAAGTAAGAATTAAGTAATGCCAGGCAAGCTTGGAAACCACTCAATCAAATACAAATCTATTTGCTTATGGTAGCAGGGAAGACAATTTCTCTTTTGGAGACTTAACAACTAGAATTAAGTATGATATATGAAGAACAACCTGATTTAATTACAAGGAGTAAAAGGGAGCTTTGATGAAGTAACTTCTTTACTGCTTGAACACTTTGCAATTACATTTGTGATTTATTGTTACTCAATTCCAGGGATGTTAGTTCACTCAGCCCTGGTAATGCCTGCTTGGGCTAAAGGTAGAAAATCTTTTTGTATGTTTTTGGGCAAAAACCTCAACGTCCCTTTTTAACAGATCCAGGTTATTTTTAATTGCTCAAATACTGAAATGATAGTTTGTGCTTTTATGTTTGTGATTTTGCCATGAATTTAGTTATGCTCTCATATCAGCAACTTCTCCTAGTCCTTACCATGTGCAACTTGTTCTTATTTTCTTTAGAGGAAACTAGAATGGGGTAAAGAATGATGGCCAGCGTAGAATCCGATCCATCTATTAAACCATGTCTAAGAGAATCAGATCACTCCAATAATTGCTAGTCCTCTTCAAGAGCCTCAAATGTATTACAGATGAGAAACATAGTTAATTTACTTACTGTTTCTTTTTGTAGAAAAAGTTTATTCATTTTTAGTGGTTTGGCTGTCCTGAACAAGTGCTGCAAGCCAAGATGACACTTCTTCCTTTTCCCTATTCTCCAAGTCAGAAATCTTTTCTCTTTTCTTCTCGATGCCTGACTCTTCCTTTTTTTCCTCTCTCGGGAAGTTACAAATCTATAAATGATATCATTTGCTTATTTTAATAAGTCCTTAACAATGCTAAAGAGGCAGGTTATAAAATAGAATCTCATAGAAAAAAATGTTAATAGTTTACCATCTTGTCCTGGTTTTGTTTCCAGTATTACATGTCAAGAGTACAACTTATCTTAAAAAGTAGGAGTAAAGATAAGCTGTCTTTATGCTTCTATGTTGTATTTTAAGTCTCAATGTTTTGGCATGGTTAAAAAAAATGGCAAAAAACCTGGCAAAAAACCTGGCAAAATTAGCAAGTGACTAGCTTTCTTCCAAGCAATAGAATAGCAAAATTCACAGAAATTTCTACGTAAAAAAGGTAAAATCAAATCTCTTTCCATTTAAGTTTAAATCCTTCTGATTATGTAATCACATCCATGCAGTATCCTTGGCAATAATACCAAAGCAGTTTGCTGCTGTTTTTTGCCATTTTTTGTACTTCCAGATTCTGTCTCTTGTTCAAGTACTTACTAGGATCAACTTTGATTAACTTTTAAGCCATAAAAATATCTCTATGTCAACAATATACAGATAGATAATCCTTGCTTAATTGTCATTTGTTTAGCGACAATTTGAAATTATGATGCTGAGCAATGCAGTTATGGCTGGTCCTTGAAGTTAAGACTGTTGCAACATCCCCATGATCCAAATTCAGGTGCTTGACAGCCTGCCTGCATTTATGATTAAAGCATGACCCTTCAACTCAGGCAGCAGAAGCCTGAGGTCCCCACTTAACAATGTTGTAACCCTTGTCTAACAACTGCAACCAGAACTACTGGAGCTGCCATTGCTAAGCAATGCAATCACATGATGTTTCATCTAAATGACATTTGACTTAGCAATGGAAATTCCAGTCCCAATTAGGGTCATTAAGCAGGGATTACCTGTAAAGGTTTTACAGGTAAAAACAAACTTTCCAATGGCAAAAGTTTCCCTGCATTCCTTATTTACTCATAAGAATTGTATACGAATTTCTTCAATTGGTCCAATAAATGGAATTGGAAGAGATGTTAGGAACTCTTTATGTCTTGATAGAAATTACAGAATAACAGAATATGAGTTTGTGTTTCAATATTACCATCATTACAAAAGTAAAGCTGATGGCATAATATTTATGTAATTTAAATTCTCATCAGATTTTATTGTTCATGAATTTACCACTCCACAAAAATACAATTATATTAACCACTTAATATCTCATCTTTATTTGTAGTGAATCCTGGAGGCTGGGCTCCAGCTTCTGTACTACGGGCAGTAGCAAAACGAGAGTATCCCAAATTCTTGAAACGATTCACATCATACGTACAAGAAAAAACATCTGGGAAGCCTATTTTGTTCTAGTATTATCAGGTATATATAATCTCTTGGGTTTTTGTAAGATAGAATTATTTCATCATTAATTATATAGTCACTTCAAATATGCTGAAATATTTGAAATGTTTCTTAAAATTATTTTTAAATAATGTGGGTATATGGGAGATAAGACAAATTTACAGTTGAAAAAAATAAGAGGTTACAGTTATGATTATAATTTTGAGGTTACGTTTTTGATACCAAAATGTTCTGAAAACTTCCTCAGCACCTTCTAGGCTCCTAATGTCACTGAATCCTCCCTCCCTCCCTCCTTCCCTCCCTTTCTCTCTGTCTCTAATTAGGGTTTTTGCATGCTGCAAACCAAATAACTAGCTGTTATACAGATAATCCACCCTTACCAACCACTTGTTCAGTGACCATTTGAAATTACGACAACACTGAAAATTAAAGCTTATGACTGGTTCTTGAAATTGCAGCCATTGCAGTGTCTCTACAGTCGTGATTGTGATCAGGCACTTGACAAGTAGCTTGCATTTACTTTGTTTTTAAAAAACCATAATTTTTATTAAGAATTTTGATTGCTATTAAAATGAATACAATAAACTGAGATAAAGAGAATAGAATATGAAAGCAAAATAAAAGTTTAGGAAAGAAGTATAAACAAATTTAGTATCTCTTCACACCATATAAGGTTGCAAACAGACCTCTTCATCCTATATTCCATGTCTTATCTATAAGCAAATCCATAAAATTTAAATCATGGTGTCAGCAAAAAGTCCTCAAAGGATTGCCAGAACTTTGCAGGAAATTTAAAAAAAAACTTATTTTAACCTTGATCAAATAAACCAACTGTATATTCCTTCTTTTTACTTCTAAATGTCTTAAACCTCAATCAAATATTATCATAGAATTTGATCTCACACTTCCTCATCTCATTGCACAGATTTCATGAAGGTTTTAGCAAGCCTCTTTTGTACATCCAATAAAAAAAAAATCCAAATCATTCTCTTGTTTTATCATTGATATTTCCCTTTTAATTTTTAAAAACTTTGGCCAGTTTCTTTTGGGTATCCAGTAAAGCCCTTTTACAAATCATTCCCTAATCCAGTCATTTGTAGTTCCACCATTTCTTTGTCTTTCCACATAGAATATGTTGATCTGTCATTCATTATCATCATTCCTTCATTAACATATTTTTGACATAGTCTGTTCACACAAGCAGAGATTATTACTGACAGTGTTGATATTATAATTATTAATGTCTGACTCCATTCTTCAATGATCTTTAATCCCAATATTACATACATTTGATGTCATTTTGTAAGTCCCAGTATTAACTGACATCAAGAAAGGCTTGTATTTTTCCCTGTTTAGCATCATTAGCCTCCCCCAGTAGCATCCAGTTTCTAAAATTGTAAAATGACTTATCTTTGTTATGACTTGCAATAGACAGGATACCCAAAATAAGTGTTTCCTACAAGAAGCAATTTATTTTTATAGTTAATCCTAAAATCTCATAGTAAAAGTCAATATTCCAAATTTATCTGCACTCTTAATCTGCTTATAAACAGTTGATAGCTTTTGTGCTGTTTATCTCAAATTCTTTAAGTTCTTAAGCCTATAATTAATTTTTCTTTTGTTCGGGTTGAAGACAAAACTCACCCAATGACTTTTTAGTCTTAACATTTGAAGGTCTCTAAAAGTTTTAGTCAATCGGCAGTTTCCTAAAGTGATTAGTAAGTCAGTTTTGCTCCACAGCAGTTGCAAGAAAGAAGACTGATCCCTTCATTTCCCAGTCCTCAAACCCAGTTTCCTCACAAGGGGGAGCTGTTAGAAGCATAAGTGGAGGAAGGAGGGGCTGACATCATGACGACATGACGTGTGATCTTGGAGCGCCAAGGTCGCAGTCGATATTTCCTCCATTGGATGGTCCTTTTGGACCTAAACCATCCCGTAGAGACAGTGATAGAGAAGAGTACATCCTGCTGATCTCAGGGACACCGCAACCATTGCTCCTGACTTCAGATCTTAAACAAATTGCAAAGACTGCAAGGAAATCCCACTTCTGAAACATTGCACAGAAAAAGCTTTAGTGGGATGTAGGCTAAAAACACCTGCAGAACACCTGATCAATACCTGGGGAGCACTTGGTATTCCCAAAACCCAGAGAACCAACTATCAAAAAATCATCAAAATCATTTTAATTTTGCTGTTTTTGTGATATTATAAATAGAATACCTTGCAAATAAATTAGTTGTGATGTTTGCACCCAATTCAACAGCTGGCTTTGTTCAACTAGAGAAACTTAAACCAATTGACTTAAACCAATCTATGTGTTATCGGTAGAGGCAGCAGACATTCATCTCATTCCAGCTTTTAGTGGTTCTGGACCCAAGTGAGAGGCTTCATCTATTTTCCTCTTTCTCCCTGCACCTAGTGATTGGAACAAGGCTGTGTGAACATTCCATTTGGAGAAATGAACCAAAATGAAGGCTCCAAGCTGGAACGTAGGATCTACAGTCTTATGGGCCAAGTCCTGCATTCTGTACACAACTGAAGAATACTGCAATGCCATGAACTTGAACTTTCACTGTCTTCTGCTAGTTCACTTTGCTGAGTTGATGTGTAATTATAAAAATACATGTGTTGATACATGTATATGGCTCTGTTTGCTTGCTCTAGAGGAGAATACTACAATTTTGGGTCACCAACTTGGTTCATTGCTTTAACTTTTGAATAATTTGAGGAGATTTCATTTACTGTGGGATTTCATAATACACTTGCACAGTTCTTGTTTTTGTGTACATCTAAAAAGCACAAGAGATGAATACACATCTAGCATACCATATGTGCTTTATGTACACAAAAACATAGTTATAACTTTTTTTCCCATCAGGTTTTCAGTAAATTCTGTGTCCTCTCAGAGGGAATTTGTGTATGCTTTGTATAATCATAGTTCATTGCTGCTGAGTTTCTATGAGAAATCATATTATGTAAAACTTCTCTTAAAATATGAGGGCTGTCAGGATCTTTATGACTTGCCTTTTCTATAGTCTTGCTCCTATGAAGGCCTTCTGGGGGTCCGATGGAGTAGGCATGAAAAGCTTTATTTTTTTCAGATATCTTTATATTTCTATTTTTAATTTTAGTTGTGTAATATGTGCTATAGAAATTTAATTCCAGAACATGATCCCAAAAAGATATTATCTTTTGGTAATATCTAAAGTGATTACTATTATATAAGAAGACCTGACTGCCAGAAAACGGCTACTGCTGTATCTTGCCCAGATTGTGTGAATATGGGTTGCTTTCTAGCAATTGGAACTTTAACACTGTGTAATATTTATTGAGTTAAATTGGATTGCTGAAGATAACATTCCCAGTCTTGGAAAAAAAAATGCTGTTGTTTAGTCCTACACGTTGTTTCCCGTTGAGTAAAGCTATGCTTTGAGATTCATCTATAAAAACTTGCCATACTTGTAACATTTGCCCTATGACCTGCCTTGTCAGATATGAAAACAAATAAAATCTAAAGAGAATTCCCCTTAGTTGCTATGAGAAGTTAACTGTCAAGGATCTAACTGTCTTTAATATCAAGAAATGCAATACATGAAGGGTGAACTGTATGAAAATCCTTTTGAGGAAATGCCTTGGGTTGCACTTTTAAAGTGAGATTAGCCAGATGACCTTTTTAGCTGTCAGCTTGTGTGTATATATATAAAGAAAGAGACAAGATTTGGATATATTTTTGAAAACAAAGCAGAAAGTCTTTATTTCATATAGAGTAGCTGATGCCTGAAAACAAATATAATACTTTTTAATGAAAATTCAGCTAATGAAAATCTTCAAGGTTGGAAGCAAATTAGTTTTGAGTGTAAGCTGATGTGTACACTAAAACAGGCGTACTCTAAGGTTTTATGTATATGTATACAGAATTCATGCTTTTTAGTATCCTTTATTTGCCTTTCTCTAAATAATGTGCATGGAGAATGCCTTACTACAGAATAATTCTGATCATGATTTAAAATGTAGAAAAGTGCCTATAGGGTAATGTTGGCAAGGCAAAGAGTAAAGATGATGAATTTGATCTGTTTACTATCTCACCAGTAAGCATTTTGTATACCATTTCTTATACCTCAGATAAGTTTAATATTTTTGCAATCAACTGGAAAAAAAATACTTGTTCACCATAGCCACTGATGGGAACCTCAATATTAAAGTAATACTTAGACCCTGAAAATGAAACCAACAATTTTCCATTCCTGATTATGATCATGGAACACATGCAGATAACTATTATTTAATTGGATAGCTTTATTTTAGAAAGAGATGAAAAGTTTACAAAGCAGTTTATAAATCTTAATGTCATTAGTTGCATTTGCACTAAATGTGATGTATTTTGCAAATCTGTAAATAAAAATTACACTAAAAGATACTATTTGTAAACTAAGCTTGACTTTTAGACAAGTGGTGTCACTTCGTTACAGCTAGTCCAGCCCAATCTGTCTTGAAATTTCTTAGAATGTATAATAAAATAACTGTAGTCAGTGCTCGCCTAGTAGTTCTTAATGTTTTTTCCTGGAACAAATTTTTATTTTTATTTTCCATTTGATTATTGGCTCTTTTCATCTAGCGCACCCATCCACCTGAGACTTCACAAGTGGCATCTTTTGCTATAATAACCGATGAGTAAATAATAGTTCTTACAGTTTTTTTATGAACTAAACTCTACAGTTAAATTCCATGGATGTAGGTAGCTTTACTGTATCTCTTTAGCTTATTGTTCCAAAGACTGAATGGTCACCAGAACCGACATTAACGTTAGAATCCTATCAAATGATGGACTTTCCTTTTTAGCTGGGAAGGGACAACATATTGATACCTATCTGGTTTTTTAAAACCTTTTTTATTACTATTATTATTATTATTATTATTATATTTTGCAATTGGACTAAATGTTATAAAATCCTTGAAGGGGTTAGAGATGGAATGCTCGGTCATCTTGAAAGAAATTTCTCTTTACCTTATTTGAGTTGAGCTGACTTGTAAGAAATTATACTGGTTCTCATTAATCAAAGAGTTAAGTCAATTTTTCACAAATCTTTTTGTCAACCGTTCCTTATATAAATGAAGCTGTATTTGAGTTACCATGTTCAATGAATGACATGCTCAAATTATGAATCAGTTTCTAGAATGTCCCAAGTGTGTAAAATGTGACTGTTCTTCTATGATAGCTTTATGATCCTGTTAACATTAAAAATAAATGACTAAATGGAGTTGCCTCTTCCATATTACAATCACAGATTTGAAAACCAGTATTTAAAAGTGCAAAGTATTAAAATATATTACAAACACATTTCTATTTTGTATTTATTTTTTAATACTCAAGTCTAACTTTACATTATTTTGTTCTAAGAAAGAAATTACTCCTAATACAATGCAGTTGTAAAAAGGCTATTGCTTTTATGTGTGTCTGTCAGAAGTGGCCAAACTTTTTGGTGACTGGGTAATGAGTGAAAGCCATTAGTAATGATGGGTACCGTAAGTGAGGTTGGGTGGATTTAATATTTGTTTCTGGAATGTTTTGCTCTCCCCCCCCCCCCCATATTTAATCATAGGAGGGTTTGTAAGCCATAAAAAATATTAAAGGCCACACATGTCATTCTGTATAGAAACAAATGTGATTCAGAGTTTATATATAATACAATAACCAAATTTTATATGCTTTGACTAATATTTAGGTTTGGCTATTTCTGAGTTCATATGTTATCTAATTAGCACCAACAATGGTCTCTTCCCCCCCCCCCCCAATACAAATGCACCAGAAATGAATTACACTATATCCATGGTGGGAAAGATGTGAGTGAGAGAATGAATCCAGGGTTATTTCAGCACCTCATACAGCGCACCTCATACAGTTTTATAATAATAAAATAGAAATATTGTAAAGGCAAAGGCAAGAGCTATTATTTCATGAACATGCATTTGAATTTTTCAAATTTGTATTTCCATCCATCTCACTAAAACCAGTTATACAATCAGTGGTGGGATTTAGCTACTTTGCAACTGGTTGTTAACTTTCTAAGCAGTACGGAGAACCAGTTGTTGAAAGAAATTCATTTCATCCCCCCCCCCCCCTAACTTTACAGGGCAAATCCTGTAAGGAAGGAAGGCTGGAAACATTCTGGTGTTTCTAGCCTAATCTTTATTGCCCTGCTTACAGAAACTGCCTCTCCGGTTAACCCTTATTACATTGTAACAGCTAAGGCAAAGTGCCCATCGACGTGAGTGACGTTGAGTTGGTCACGCCTACCCAGTCCCGCCTACCCAGCTGGTCATTAGGGTAGAGAACCGGTTGTTAAATTATTTGAATCCCATCACTCTGTACAATATGGGACTGGATTATTAGGAAACGGGGAAT